TGTTTAAGCAAGATAGCTCAGAGAAGCAGGGGAGGGCTTGACTGCTTCGATATTGGCAACATGATTTATTATTTTCAAAAATTTTAGGTGTTATTATCCTTTCTAGTAGTGAAAGGACCCACAAAGCTCCAGTTGTACAGAAACCAGGATTTCCCAAACTTTCCAAGCGGAAGTCACCTGCTTAAAAGTACACATGCCTAGACCACTCCAGGGAATCAGGATCTCTAATAGCTGCTCTATTGTAATCTGACAAGTTTGGGTAACTCTTTCCAGCACTGGTTCTTAGCACTGACCACTTGCTAGGATCTGCTGGGAAGCATGAAAAACAGCAGCAGCAACAACAGTGATAATGGATGTCCAGGCCCCACCTCCGACCAATTCAGTCAGTATGCATCTCCTGAGTTGGACTGGCCATGGATGTGTTTTCTAAAGCCACTCAGATCATGCTAATATGCAGCCAGGCCTGAGAAACACCAGCTGCTTTGCCTCAGTACTCAGTGTCATCAGAACTAGCAGGACTGGCCTCTTCTGGGAGCTGGGTAGAAGTGCAGGATCTCAGGCCTGGCCCCAGGACCTGAGATGGCGATCTGCATTGGTTATTTTTGTGTTTCTTTTTTTGTTGTTGTTGTTGTTTTTTCCGAGATGGAGTCTCGCTCTTTCACCCAGGCTGGAGTGCAGTGGTGTGATCTCGGCTCACTGTAACCTCTGCCTCCCAGGTTCAAGCAATTCTCTGCCTCACCATCCCAAGTACCTGGGATTATAGGCGCCTGCCACCATGCCCAGGTAATTTTTTTGTATTTTTAGTAGAGACAGGGTTTCACCATCTTGGCTAGGCTGGTCTTGAACTCCTGACCTCATGATCCACCCGCCTTGGTCTCCCAAAGTTCTGGGATTACAGGCGTGAGCCACTGCACCCGGCCAAACAAACTCTTTAAGAGATCTATGTGCACACTAAAGGTTCAAGTATGCGTATCAAGGGAACAGAAACCTTTCCACCGCGAGGATGGATTTTTACTCCCCTCTCCCCCCTCCCTTTGCCAGCACACCATCAAAAGCAGCTTAAAATCTTGACTGAGATTTTTTCTTTATACACTTGGCCAATCGAAAGCCAACTGAAGAGTGGTAGGGTGAGGCCCATGTATCTGCTCCAAAATCATTTAGAAAAGTATGTTAAATAGCATACACTGCTCTTACCCAATCAAATGTCCCAGCCCAGCAACATTTAATTGGCAGTTTGTTTCACGTCCAGCAATCAAAGACATTAAGGACCACTAACATTTACATCCATGAATTCATTTAGACAGTTTTCTTTAATTGATGATGAAGACACTACAATTCTAAGTACCAGACAGAATCAGGAAAAAAAATTGAAAATAAGCATAACACTATAAAGAAAACTTGGAAAAGTGAAACACTTCTAAATAAAAAATATATACCTGGCCTGGTACCCATTACATATATACATAATACATGTTATACACATATATACAGTAAATGTTTTGGTAGCAATACAGACCATGCATTGGTCTTTGTATACACAGATGAAGTAGCACCGGGGACAGCACCACCATCTTAAGATGATAAACCAAACTACACATACATTAAATGAAAATACATATGTGTTTAATTTGGCCCACCCTGTAGCCCAGAGGTGTAAGGAAAGTACTTTGCAAGATAAAATTGTTTGGGGAACTACATTCTTAAGCCTATGGCGAAGTTCTAAAAAGAAAAAAAAAAAAAAAACCTACAAATGTCTATGCAAATACGGACAAGTTTTCCTGTTTACTGAATTTGTCCTATCCTATGGCATACTGGTTAACAGCATAAGCAAAGAGAGATTTAAATGCCAGGTGAATGGCAGAAGTCTAAAACACCAGATCTTTTTGGTGTATCCATCACAAATCGCAAGTCATTCACAAACTAGAAAAGAAAGATAACTCTCCACGTAAGTCATGTGTTTTCTAATCATATTAGCTAATTATAAGCTCTTTATTCATAATAAATTTCTCAAGGAGGGTTAAGCACCTCCAATATCATTCCACCTCCTCCCTGCACTTAATGAGATGCTCTGTTTACAAGCAGTGGGAGACACACAACAGGCTACACTTTCTCTACCCGTACTTAGAAGACAGACTTACAGAACTATGGAAGGACTACGAAGATCTTCTGTGGCGCTGCCTTGGAAATGACCCACGGCACCAGTGTTTATCCTCAGTGTTCTACTGACTATGAGGCTGTTTTTGTTCTCCATAACTGAGCTCACATTCTGGAGGTGTTTTAGTCTTGGCAAGGTCATATTTCCTCACATTCCTAGAAGAGCATGCTTCTTCCTCTCAAGTTTCTCACAAGCCTATACATATATATACATATATAGATGTATATATACATATGCATATACATCTATATATCTAGTGTGTGTATATATATATCTATATACACACACACACCCCACACACACGTCACACACACACACGTCATATATATATATACACACACACACACAACATTACCTCCAACTAACATTCATCATTCATGGTATCCTAGGAACATTAACTCCCATGTCAAGTCATTGCAAAGAAGAAATTTCATATTGGCTTCCACCCATTCTCCTTCCTATTCCTACCAAAAGGGTCCTGTCTCTCGCCAGTCAAGGTCTTGATTCACAGTGTCTGGATTCAGGGCCTCCTTGTGTGATGGACTGACCTACAGAGCGCTCTGCAAAAGCAGCATGAGACCAAATATAGGATCACTGTCACCAGCAGTTGGAAGACTGCCCATGGATACTATTTTTCATGGCTCTCATTGTCAGTGGATGGTGAAACCCTTCCCCCCGCCGCCGCCCTTTTTTTAACCACCTGCAGTAAATAAAATTAAAGTTTCCGACTTTGTGGTATATTGCATTCAGGATGCAAGACTGAATAAAACAGGGCTTCAGTATTGTAAAATACTGTTTCTTACCATACAGAAAAATTGTTTCTTAATACTTCCAATGTCTCAAATTTAACTGATCACTAGAAGACAAACGCCAGAGAAGGAAAGGTTAAAAATCTCTACTTCTGGCTAGATGATTTTTAGTAGATCCATTTTTGCAGTCACTAGATTAGTCAAGAGAGTCCTTGACCTTTGAAAGTCAGCAAGAAATAGCCACAAATGTAACATCAGTACTGATTTGTCATTATTGACTCAGGTGGTTGATCATTAATGGATTCTCTTCACTTCTAGCTGGTTCTAGGGCCATTCTTTTGCCCAGAATGAAGATATCATCAAAGTCATGAAACATATTTGTTCTTTTCACAAAAGAGGATTTTAAAACTCTGCCTAAGTCTCTAAGGAAGAACGCTGTGAGAGGTTGGTGTCAGGAAGAAAAACCCACTAACTTCTAGGTTAACCAGAGGCCACTAGAAGCCTCAATAATGAAAGCCCTTGGCTGGCCTACAAATCCTTTGAAATGGATAAAAGCCAACTCTCCTCAATGGGAACTGAACACAAGGACTTAGCAGCTGACGTTGCTCAAAGGAAACCCTTCGTGTTGCCAGAGCATGAGTTTTTGGTTTGAGTACCAGCAACTTCCAGTTTTAAATTGGTAGTTTGATGCCACCATCAAAACCAGCTCAGGCACCACTAGAAGCAGCTTAAGTAAGAATTTCTACCTTTATGCTATTTGACTCAAAAAGTCAGAGAAATAGAAACCAAGAGATAGATTTTTCCAGTCTGTTCATTTCTGCTCTCATCCGAAACATGTTGATAATTCCACATGCAGAGGTATCTCGGTAACACATATTCAAAGTGTAGGTTCCTTGAGAAATAATAACCAGCTTTACAGAAAAAATGGTTGGGAGTGACTTTGTTCATTGATTTCTCTTTAACTATTTCAGTCCTCAAAGGAAAAGAGCAGGGCAGCTTGCTCTCTTCTTCCACTAGCAAGAGTATGAATCAGAATGCTTGAAAATATGAAAAGTTAGTTTGACTAAGAAAGTCTTTTTTACAAAAGTGAAAAACAACTTTCATATCAGATTTTCAAAATGGGTAGTCCTCTCTACTAATAGGAAATGATGTAATTCTGCAAGTTCCTTGAAAACAATGGATTCTTATGACTCTAGACCCTATTTATCTTTGAACTTGATGAGCATGCAAATGATTAAAATCTGCAACAATGAACATTGCACAACAGTCTGTGAGGTACATGCCATCTGGTTGAATGAACAGTAACACGGGCCTCAGCAGTGTGAGGGGTTCCATATATCTCTGCTCCCTTTTGAATAGAGCTGGGGTCCCCAAACAGTTCATCAGGAGGCAGCAGCCACCACAATGCCCTCCAACCCTGGCCCCTACTTTGTAGTACCCACTCCTACCCAGGGAGCTTAGGCGTTCAGAGAAATAAAATGTTGCTCCTTCCAACAGTAGGGCTGGGAATTCCTGAGAGAGAGATAGAGGCTCCCACAGACTCAGAAGGAGCCTGATATGTGCATTAATTCATTTAACCTTTCGGAAGTTTCCTGGTAAAAAAGATTTAAAAATCTGTCGGCAATATCTTTAAATGCATTCATTGCCATTTCTTTTTCACATGGAAAAAATTCCAAGACGTGCATACTTTCCAAACAAGAAAAGAATTAACATTTTCACTGCTGGCTAGATGTTTCAGTAGCAGATCATTAAGCTTTTATGTGCTCTCTGTATACTGTGTTTTATTAACTAATCACTAATAGGCCAGCACCCACCAAGGCAAATTGGCCAATTACATTCAGTTAAATAATGTAACACTGGAAGTTCTCAAAAAATACGAGATAAGGTAAGGGTCTTAGGGAAAGTGACACGTAGCCCTGGTCATAATGCAAAACACTTTCTGGAATTTTAATTTCTGGTTAGCAAGACCTCACTTGTCTTATCATCTTTCTCAAGACAATGCAGGAAATGAAATATATCATGTGTGCACAGAAAAAAAATGGTGGGAATAGAGCAGAAACTTACAGAAGTGGTGGGGGGAGGGAGAGAAGAAAAGATCAACAGTATCTAGTTTATTATGAATAGAAAGACATTTCCAGAATTTACAAACACCCACATTGTTCATTCCAAAAACAGTTTTCGATTTGAAGGAATCACCCATCTCCTTCTCTTTACAATATATACAATGGAAGACTTTGATTTCCTCTTCTTATAATTTTGCTTCCATTCAATTGCCAATTTTAAGCTGACACTTAAAAACACCCAGTCAAATATATCCTTCTTCAGTTTAATTAACATGGCCTATTGTCTTACAGGAAAAAATACAAAATTAAGAGTACTTCTTATAAGGAACTCAGCTCAACATCAGATTTATATTACAAGAGATAGTATCAGCAAATATAACTATACAATTGAGGACCATCTATGGCACTATGATTCTTATATTATTTTTTCTGAATTACAATCTTAAAAACAAGGATCATACCCTATTCTACTCTTTTAAGCCTTGTTTTAAGCATTTGCTCCACTCTTTACAACAGAACATTGTATATCTCCGTCCCACATCCAAAAAAAAAGATGTGCTGTAAGAGAAGTTACATTTTCATTAAAAAAATTACACATATAAATCAAAACCTATGTTAAATATTTAATACTCTCTCCACCCAACGTGAACAGTTTTGTATGAAATAATTTACAATGATGCTTTGTCGTACACAGTTTCAGCAGCAGATGAAATGGATCTTGTAAATGCATTGAGAGTAAACCCATTCTCTCATGACACGGTGGTGGGCACATCAGCTCACTGTAGCCAGCTAAGTCCTTAAGGTTGAAGATGAAGTTTATGCAGACTCCTTGTTCTGGTGTCACAGTGCTTTTTTTTTTCTTTTCTTTTCTTTTCTTTTTTTTTTGCTTGGCACAATATAGAACGTGCAGTTCAGTCAATAAAATCCTGAGGATTGGATAAAGTAAACAAACTGAAATGGATGCATCGTACCATCTACTGATGAGGAAGATATGAGGTCCTAGTTGTGAATCATGAAATATTTAGAGTCTGGGTACCCATGAGTTAGAGGAGGATTTGCTGAGGTCATTTAGGTCTTCATTCTGAAAAGAAAAATGAAAGAATTCATCACCACAGGCATCTCAAACTGCACAATCACTATTTCAGAACCTTTCTTTTACAAGGAGCAGTGTCATATAAACTGAAATTACAGGAACAAATAGTACTGTCCACCTAAATACAATCAACAAACTGTATTAACTTTTTATTTATTTCAAAATGCAAGAGTCTAAAGAAATCACTAACTAAAAGTCATCAATGTGGAATCTGTAAACCAATCAACATGAGCTGGATGTTTCAGAGGTTTAACAAAGGAAAAACAGAAAATTCTTTGGTGTTGTGATGGAAGCAAAAACATACATTATAGTTGCTATGTAAAATGACCATCCAGTATGAGCGGGTTGTAGTCAGTCTGTGTTCCATCTCCCTCTGGTTAAAAGTCAGCTGCAGAGTTGCAGAGCTTCACATGACAGAATCGGAAATCAATTTTTAATGTGCACAAACATTGTTTGACATGAGAATTTTAGATGCAAAGGGAGACCTAAGCAAAACAGACCTACTTAATCATTAAATAAGAAAACAAAAGGATTCAGATTTACATCTAATAGAAATAAGTTATTTAGGCAGAAGCACAGCATTTCTTCTTCGCAAGTCAAGAAGGTAAATTTTAAAGGGGCACTATCCATGATTCCCCTTCAGAGTGAAGACTCTTTTTCAACCTCATAGAGCATCTTCTACTCAAAGATTACATTACATAGTCTTTTAGAGGCCCTTATTTTTCATGCATTCAAAACTTATCTATAAATATCAGTATTTATAGAGTGCACCAAAGGGTATTTAGCAGAGAGTAAATAAGAAATACTTGTTGAATGAGTACATGGTTGCACTAAATACTAGGAATTGTAGAGAGTTGAATTCTGTTGGAAACTCTGCCTTTTAGTAATTCTAGAAAGGAAGGCAAGTTCTGTTCATAAATACATGGCATGTGAAGTAGACATCAGTACATGCTATGATACACGCATGGGGGCAATAGCTCTAGACACGTGGAGGACGGAAAGAATCCTCCCAGCTGGGGGTGTAAGGGAAGCACCTCACTGACACATCTGGCTTGGTTTTGGAAGAAAAAGAATAATTTGGGGAGGTGGCAACAGGGATTGTGTCTATGTTGCTTCAGTGTTGCAGTCCCAGAACGTAACACAAGGCTTGCCACATAGCGACACTTAATAAATAGGAGTAAAATACATGAAAAGGAAAAGGACACTTCCCATTGAGAACATATGACAAGGTCCTACGGGGTGAGATCGCAGCCGTGAGCAGGCTCAAGTAGAGGAAGTGGCTTCTCTGGACCCCAAGATATCTAAGGAGGGATAGAAGGAATTAAGTCTACAAATGTAGGTTGAGGTAGATGGTGAAGAACCTTGAATGACAAGCTAAGAGGTCTTTATCTAATTATAGAGACAACAAGGACATGCTACACTGACATATGGTCAAGATGTAGCACTAATAATCCACATCACCTACAAGGATAGTGACAACTTCCAAAATACACAAAACATAAGTGTGGAGCAATATATTAGGTTGGTGCAAAAGTATTTGTGGTTTTTGCCATAAATGAAATTACAAAACCCACAATTACTTTTGGACCAACCTAATATCTTTTTTCCTCTGTCTCCTCTTGAAGGGAATGATCATGGCTGGGATCAGTCATCATTCATTACACAATGGTTTTCTGATAAGTCAAAGTTTACCAAATGAGGACTCTAGTTTTAGGAGATTTCTGTTTATTTTTAAATATTAACTCTGCCTCTAAAAGACAGGTAAACAAACTATTTTTTTAACTGACTAATGAAGACTTGGCATGACGATCCCAATGTAAAAACAAACAAAAAATGAAAGCATTCCAAGTTTGCCCCTTTAATTGCCAGAGAAACAGGATTTACTCTGTGTGGTGTCTACAAATGAAAGGAAAGCCCATCCCTTCACAAGCCATTGGTATGCTAGGAAACTCCCCACAACAAGCTCCAGATCTCTTACTTACTGTCAAGCTTCTCCTGAATGCATATAAGAATGTTCCCACTAGAATTTCTAGATTAGCGCTTAACAGAGCTTCACAGCTCTGGGCCTCTAATTAGGCAGGAAGGCCATACTTTATTAAAGGACTTGTGACAAACAATCAAACTGCCAAATATAAAATGGGGGAAAAGCAAAGGGCATATGGTATGTTTTTCATTTCCTATCTGGCTCTTCTCCAGGAGGGGTGGGTGAACAGCTTTGTACAGGAACACACTGTACCCTCTTTTATCATCACACGTACCAACCTGCATGGATGCGTAAGGACAGAAACCCGGGGCCCTTTGAGGAGAGGGAAAAAAATGTGGCTTCACTGGGTGCTGAAATCTATTGCTTTGGGTCACTTGGAAATGATCCCTGTCATTATCCACAAGTATGTTCAAAGGGCAGGGAATAAAAGGACATATCAGGTCCACTGATACCTTCCTTCGAAAGTCTTACTTAGCACACTACTTTTCAAAGTCCCTTATCTGAAGTCCTGATCAACACTTGTCTCAGCCACAAGTGCTGCCCGTTGGTGGCATTCAACATCAGAGACTACGAAAAAGTGAAAGTAAGTGGTAAACAGTGTGAGGCAATGCTGACGAGGGGGTGGCAATGGGAACAGGCAGTAGAGACCAGGACAAACATAAAGGGAAAGTCTGAAGTTCACACCTGTTTGTCTTTGTACAGGACGTGTGTATCTGTGTACGCACATAAAGTTTAGCTACATGGACATCCTTCAGTGAGAACTGTCCTCACAACAGCCACCTTGGGGGCTGCGTACTTATTCCAGTCATGCAGCCATTGTTTGCAGCATTTTTGGAATGCCTGCTCAGCCTTGGGCATATTCTTTTGAATAGTCTCTATAGTAGCCAGTCTTAGCCCTCTGAGAACATGTTTGATCTTTGGAGACGGCCAAAAAGCTTCAAGAGCCAAATATGGTGAATAATGGGACTGACTAAGCTGGGCAATAGTTCCCAGTGAGGTATTATCTAAAGCCAAAGAGCTCCGAGACTGAAGTTCCAAAAGCAGAGTTGTATACAACACTTGCTCTGATGAGTTTGTTGGTAAGGAAGTCTCCTCACAGAGACAGACCTCAACACAAGCTTAATGAGACTAAAGTTCATCTGTCTGTATCTCCCTAGCTCCACAGACTCACAGTCAAGCAAGGCTGAACTTGAATAAAGCAACTCACTCAAAAAAGGCAAACATTTGTGTAACTTAATATATTTTTAAAAAAGAAAAACAGCAATGCCCATACTAGGGTATTGCAGTCCGTCATTCAATGCAGTAAGCATAAATACAATGATAAAGACTGGAATAAGCAGGGAAAAGGCCCGCATAGCCATACATGTTTCATACACTTTATATATACACCACTTCCATTGACTAAAGGGAGACAATTGACTGACCAGAGGTAGCAAATATTGCTACAAAGTTTTACAAATGCAAAAATTCATTTGTAACACGCAGAAACTGGAAAAAAAAAAAAAAGGCAAAACATTTCCTTAACAGAAGACACTGCAAATATCAAGTGGTGATGTTCCTACAATACATTCTCTCTGGTTACATCATTGGGGAATAACTTCTGAAGGCAGAAATACAATGCACCTGTCATGAGATTTAGTAGCAGGAAATTACATTTTGACAAAATTTCATCACCACATCAGTATCTACTATGCCCCTCTGCGTGTATATTCTCGTAAGATAAAACCCACCTAATCCTGTTGCCAGTAATGAAAAATGTAATTTTTAAAGCATTATCAAATAAGTCAACACTTGAGCAATGCTACTTGAGACCTATGGATTATTGCATTATTGCGTCTAGTAGGAATTTCCATCTTCTGGGTTCCACCGACTTAAACTATGCCTACAATAGCTGAAAAACAAATAAAGGCTTTGCTTCCTTTTACATTGTCTCAGCTTACTGATCGTTTTACTGGGAAAGCAGCTGGAAACAGCACGAGGGTATAAGTATGATGAAAAGGTCTGTACACTTTCGGCAATGCATTCTTGGTCAAAACAATTGACAAATGTTTTTATCCTGTATTCATATGTTTTGAAACTTCTTGCCAATATGTTAAATCAAGTGCAATATAGTAATAAAAACCTAGTTGGAGCATTGCTAGTCATTTCTTCTTTTACTAGGGAAATAAGAGTAAAATATTTTAAGTTTCTTGGCTACTGTCATATACTAAGTTGTTAGAAAGCAACTCTTCCTTATCCAACTGTGCTTTAAAAAAATGACTGTAGTGATGACTTTTTTTTCAATAGAGGTCATTGTTTGAAATCTTACATTGTAGACGGAAGTAGAAAATTCATATAAATTAAATTCCTGCACTTAAAGAAATGAATCAAAACAGCATATTTCGCTTTCAGTTAACACAAACAGCTGTGTTTTTTAAAAAATATATCTTGAATATAATACAGAAAATGTATAAAATACAGGAAGATGTAAAGAAGGAATAAACATGACTTATATTCCCTGCCACCAGGAAAACCACTACTCAGCTGTGGTTGTAATTCCACAATCCACTTAAAGGATTTGAACTTTTAAAATGCTACATTTAATGTCCCCCAAAAAAGTCTAAGTAGGAGAGGAAAATACTGTTTTAATCATACTTCGATCTTTCCCATTCTTAAAAATCCATGATGAGAAATTTTTTTGAAATGTTATCCAACTTTTTAAAGCCTCCTGGTATTCTATCCCTTCCCCATCATCCCAATGCATTGTACAATATGGGGAGAGTAGGAATTTGAAAGTAGGAAAATCTTCTGGCTCCATGGCTTTAGTTTCCAAAAGCCTCAGTATTTAAGGGAATGGCACAGGCAAAATATTTGGAAGAGCCAGGAGAGCAGAAGGATTCCTCTCAGGTTAGAAAAGATTCCCTTCATGAGAGCAGAGGGGTCAGTGGGTAGCTCTGTACCTTGCAAGATTCTGACAGTGATGCCTGTGACCTCTCTCTATTCCGTCTTCCCCCGTCTGTTGATT